CGTCCCGGCTTTGTAGGGATGCGAGGTCAATGGTCGAACGACTACGGCATGCACGACTATGAGTACACACACCCCCATCCCCCCCCCAGCCATCGGGGTTGGGTTTTCGTCGCTTGGCAACGACGTTGTAAAACATGCCGCCGCCCCCGGTGTTCGCCATCGGGGTTGGGTTTTCGTCGCTTGGCAACGACGTTGTAAACCAAACCAATTCACCTCGTGAACTCGGCAACCAGGTTACCGGGGGTTTTTTACCTCTGTTTTTTTTTTGCGGTAACTATAATGGTGGTCGAGTAGATCTTGTTGTGCGGGGTGGAGAACCCTCACTCCGCGCAAGGGGGATGATCGCACCACGTAAATGTCAAAATGGTCAAGCATCCTCGAGGCAGTTACACAGTGCTTACAACTGTCTCTGGAAGTGAAAGCACCAGAAAATAAATTAAGTCATAACCAGCTGTCATCCGTACTCAAGGAAGTAAGCACAAGATGCCGAACACCGTTAGCAGGATGCAGAGCACCCTTCATGCGACTCGCCGAATACCTCACGGCGCTTCGCGCTTGGTGATGTGAGAGCCTGGTCCGGTGAGAACCCGGCGTGCTCCGTCCCGGCTTTGTAGGGATGCGAGGTCAATGGTCAAACGACTACGGCATGCACGACTATGAGTACACCCCCCCCCCCCCCCCCTCCCCCCTCCCGTAAGGTGGAGCTGCTTGTTTCCGAGACGAACGAGAGGTCGCTGAGTACCACTCTTCTCATCACCCCGGAGTTCTCGCTCAACAACGCGGAGGCCTTTGAGGTCATCGGCCAGACGTGAGTCCCAGCAAGTGGCTGTCAAGGGTGTGGGGTACCCGTGTACGACGGTATACGGATCTGTGAAGTTAGTTTTTGGTTCGGTGTGGTTCGCTGGGCTGTTCGAGTCGAAACATGTCAGGTGTGTGAGCTGATTGAGCCTGGGAAAGGTCACCACCAAGGGGCGGCTGTCGGCCAGCTGTGGGCTGGTGCTGCTGCCTGTGTTTGTTGTGTCATGTTGCATGACACGGTACTCTCATGAGCCCTACCCGGAGATCATTCATGGGTAGGTTTTAGAGTGCTGTATGTTGTGTGAGCAGATCTCTGGTGCGGTTTATCCAAAAGGTTGCCACGAAGTGTAAAACTCTGCCGTGTTTCACGAGTAAATTCTGATGCTGTTCATCCAAAACGGTTGCCACGAAGTGTACAACTCTGGTGTGATTCATCCAAAAGGGTTGCCACTAAGTGTATAACTCTGATATTGTTCATCATTAGGGTTGACACCTTCGCGACGAAAGGGATCAGTCACCCTTCAGGGCTGGTTGACACCCGGTCGCGCGCCGATGTCGTGGCTGATACGTCTTGGCGAGTGTTGTGAATCGTCCTCGCTATAATAATTTAGTTTCATCTTGGAAGTTCAATTTTTTTCAAGGGCAAAGAATGATGTCAGAAGGAACGTTCTTTGAACGTCAACTCAATGACCAAGGACATCAAAAGGACGCACCCGTTTTTGCGTAAGTCTGCCAGAATCCCGCACCACTTGAATTGCACCGGACGAACACGCGATGTGTTTTTTTTGTTCCTTCCCTCCTCCAAATATTTTCGGGTCTTGCCTGCCATGTTTTTTTGTTTTTTTTCACGTGCAGGCTAACGCAGCCATTGGAGGCGTTGCACCTTGAGGACGACATCCAGCTCGTCTTCTTTCACCCCCAATACGCCTTCAGGTGAACGGACCGGAACGTTTGTGTTTGTTGTCGTTGTCGTGGAGGTGATGGTGATGGTGGTTGCTGCTGCTGCTGCTGCTGCTGCTGATGCTGCTCCTACTACGAGCATATCTTTGTCGTTTTCATGAATGGTGGGGGGTTGTGCGGCCTTCGTACTGTTGTTGACGCTGATCGCTGTTGGTGGCGGTCTTTGTGTTTTTTTTTGCCGTCGTCGATGTTAGATCTATGTTGCTTGTTTGCGTCTGTAGCTTTATCTTCTCTCCTGGCTGTGGTTGTCTCGTGCCGTTCCCGCCGTCGTGAACGGTACACACCCCATCCATCACCAAACCAACTTATGGACACACTCGATACCTATGCAAGTGCCTGCCGCTTTTGCTCGTGGTGTGAAAGGTTGAGGGGCATGACCCATCACGTTTTCTTGGCATCTGCACAGGCGAGACTAGTGAGGAGTACACTCGAAGGCGTGTAGTTGGTCGGTGCCTTGTTTCACCCTAGTGCAATGGTTGTCGGTCAGTCAAAGAGTGTGTACCTGATACGCTGATGTGCGTGATTTTTTCCTTGGTCAAATTTGACGGTCCCTTTATCCTTCTTCGTGTGCAGGGACGGGCGAGATCGCATTGGGAGCGGCGGCGCGGCTAACTTCGCCCGACGGTCTCCCTTCCCAATGATCAACATCCTCAGGACCAACCAGGTGAGTGCATTGCAGCGGACTTTCTCTCTTTGCTTGGTGTCGCCCAAAGAAAGACGTGTGCATGTTTTGTCAACGTGTTCCTCATGCCTTGTCTACCTTGATGCTGTGGGAACTTCTCATTCCTCATTTTGCGGAAACAGTCGATTTGTGTCTCTGGGACACCAAATGGTTCAGGGGGAAGTTGTTGCCCGCGATTGCCAACACCAAAGCCACTGGGGGGAACCTTCCCACGGACCGCACGCCTTTTTTCCTCGAACAGATTCATAATATTCGGAACCTAATTGGTACTGATTGGTAAGCGGACAGTGATTATTTTCCCGTCCTCGACAACCGAAGGTGTGGACGATTTGCTTGTCGCGGTGATCACTGTTGTTGATGTTCGTTCTTGCCACTCTTTGCCTCTGAAACAAGAACGTTCCTCTTCTCGAAAAGTTTCGTTTCGTCTCTATCCTTTGCTGCAGTTTTTTTTTTCTTTTGCTGCACCCACTTGTTCCCCGGTTTCCTTGGCCCTACAACATCTCCGAAGGTCCGGTTGGCCCAGAAGTCCATCCCTACGGGGTTGGTGTACAAGCAAAACGAGGAGGTTCTGGAGGAAGTAGGGGCCGGCGACCTCCAGAAGATGCTCGAAGTCCGGGATTGGACAGGGCTCGAGGGGAAAAAAGTGAGCCGAGCGAGTTGCGCATGCACACCCACACGTTCGTCCTTGAACCACAATTTTACCTCCCAAAAAAAAAGGTTGTCGTTGGTACCATTCTTTTGGGGGGGGGGCGGACACAGGCGGAGCAGTTTTTTGCAATACAGCGGTTCTCTTTCGGCGGTACATCAGCGGTTTTTCGTTTTTCGGTGGTATATACATGTGCCGCCTTGGGCGGTCCCGGTAAAACCAAACTATGGCGGTAATTGCCGCCAGTACTGGGTCCGCCCACCGCCGTAAGAAACGTCTGGAAATTTCACGACAAGCCTGGTTGCAACGGCCAAACGGAAGGGACTTGTGGCTGGTTTATATGTAGCAGTGCTCGAATGGGATAGGATCAGCTCACAAGCGTTCAGTGGGTGGGGGGGGTGGCCCAAAGGGTTCACCAGCAGTGTGCCGCCTTGCGTCGGTTTTACGGGCTGGATGGGCGGAGGTGTCGTCTGCAAGCTATTTCCCTACACATCCGGCAAGGTGCAATGGTTGAGTTTAGGAGAGCCATCCAACGCCTCACTGCTGTCGCAACCATCCCTCGCGACATCCTCCGCCAACGGCGTCGATCGCAAGGCCATCGTTTCCCACGTTACTGACGAGTCTCTCCCTTCTGAAACACGAACTAGGCTATTCAATCGGTTGCCCCCCCCCCCACGTTGTTAGAGCCTGGTCCGGTGAGAACCCGGCTTTGTAGGGATACGAGGTCAATGGTCTAACGACTACGGCATGCACGACTATGAGTACCCCTCCCCCCCCGGTGTTTGCCATCGGGGTTTGGGTTTTCGTCGCTTGGCAACGACGTTGTAAAACAAGCCCCCCACTCGGTGGCAAGAAATTTTTATGGAGTTTGTGGCAGAAACGTAAAGAGCTCCCAAATGTTGGTGGTGTCTCTAGTAGGTGTAGGAACGGTGCTCCTTCTCGAAAGGGACGCGTGGTCAATGGTCAAATGACTACGGCAAGCAACAAATGAGTACGGCCCCCCCCCCCCCCCCC